CACACAGTAGAACTCATGCAGTAGACCCCCTTCCCCTTCCCATTCCACACTTCCCACCTCCTGGTTTTTCCTCTTTTCTACCTTCTAATGAGGTAGAAATCTAGGAAATCTCTGTTGCACAGGTAGTGAGATTCAGGCTCCTAGAGGTGTTTTTTTAAAAAATATTTTTTTATTTTCTGAACTCCCCAAATCTGAACATCTTCCCCCCCCCCCCCAGCATGAAAAGGGCTGTTGTTAACTACTCTGGGACAATTGGAACTATTGTGGATACCTGTTTCCTAGCACTGCTGTAATAAAGAATCACAAACAGGATGGCTTAAACCAAATTGTTTTCTCCCAGTTCTGGCAGCCAGAAGTCAGAAATCCAGGTGTCAGCAAGATTGGTGCCTTCTGGAGGTTCTGAAGGAGAATTCCTTTCATGTCCTTCTTTGAGCTGCTGCTGGTTGCTGTAATCCCTGGCATAGCTTGGCTTGGAAAGCCCCCCACTGCCGTCCCTGCCTCCATCATCACGTGGTGTTCTTCCTGTGCACCCATGTCTGTTTCTCCTTCTGATCAGGATGCTCGTCATATTGGATTATGGCCTCACTCTAACAACCTCAATGTGATTGCACCTGCAAAGACCCCATTTCCAAATAAGGTCACATTCATAGAATTCACAGACAGTTGGGACTTCAACATATCTTCTTGGGGGACACAATTCAACCCATTAGCCTCAAACTAGCTTTCTGACCTATAAAATGGAGGTAATAATAGCATCTGTTAGATACAGTTTGTGTGAAGACTGATTGACCAACATATCTAGGCCTTCACACAGTGCTTCCAACAGAAGCATGTTCAGCCTTTTACCTCCCTTGCCATATCTTTTCCTTCCTCTACTTCTCCCACTTAGGCACTCAGGTCCTTGGCTTCTTTGTCATTTCTGTTTGTTCAGTATAGAAATGTGAAACAAACAAATAATCCATATATTACCCGATTTCATTCTTTCTACCATTAATTTTGAAGGTAATATTGAAGTGCATTCTTTTAAACTAATATGTTTACCTTTTGCTCTGTCTCCAGGAAAGATTCAGACTCCAGTGGCATGTAAAAGCCTGCTTTATGCCCACCCACACACGGTCCCCAGGTCTCCTGTTGTGAGTGCAGCTTCAGAAGAAGAGAGTCATGGAGAAGCCAGTTCCTCCCAGACACCATCCAATCAATTCGATGAGACCCTACTGATCCTCACTGTCAGACGAGAAATTAAGAGAGCCAGAGGAGCACCCCGTGAGGCCTGGAGCAGTCCAATTTTGGCAAAGCATGTGACAAAAAAACTTATTAGATCCCACTCAGTCACTCCTTTGCACCTGGAGGCTGCAGGCACACGCATCAATAGGCACGCGAGACTTCAGAACCAGCCCTCCTGCAATTCCAGGGGAGATTCTGCCCCACTTGGTAAGGATCACTTTGTGGTTCTTGTGTGTGTGTTTTTTTTAATTAATTAATTTATTTTAGAGAGAAAGAGCACAAGTGGGAGGAGCAGAGGGAGAGAATCTCAAGCAGACTCCACACTGAGTGCAGAGCCTGATATGACCCTGAGATCATGACCCAAGCTGAAACCAAGAGTCAGATGTTTAACCGACGGCACCACCCAGGCGCCCTGACTTTGTGGTTCTTAATTCCTTGTTTCTCTCTTCAATTGGTCACATTTTGTTTTTAAATTAATATAAACAGTAAAATTACTAACTCAATGGCAGATCCTATTCTAGAAGGTTCTATAAGAGCTGTATCAGTCAGTCTTGAATGGAAGTCTACTTGTTGTCAAGTATTGTTTTGGAGGAGAGAACAAGTGTGATTTGATGACAAGTAATGTGAGATGATTCAGGTATTGCACCAGATAATAATGATGATGACAATTATTGCTATCATGATCATTCCAGCCCTCATTTAATTAGCTCTCACCATGTGCCATACAATGCACTGAGCATTTCATATTATTTTATGAAACCCTCCCATAACACTGTTAGGCAGGTAATGTCATTATCCCCATTTTACAGGTAAGGAAACTGTGAATTCGTAGCACAGAATAATGTATATGACGACAAAGTGTCTCAAAATTGCTCCTAGGAGGAGTGAGTAAAAATAAGGAAATGGACCAGAAGGAATGAGCTTTGAAACCAGGGACACCAGGGCTCAAATCTCTACCTTTTCCCATTTCTGTTCAGTAGCCATGATCAGTCTTATACATGTTCTTTGAGCTCAATATTTTCATCTGCAAACTAACAACAATTAACTGCCTTGAAAAGATGTTGTAATTAGAGGATTGATATAAATGAAGTTCACTGAACACAGCAGGGACCAAACAGCAGTGGGGAAGATGGTGGTGGTGTTTATGGTGCTGTTGTTCAGACTGAGGTAAGAATATGTGAGGAAACAATGTATATTCCAGATGCTCTAGAACTGTCATGTAGAAGGATTAGATTAATTTTACATAACTTTTTTTTGGAAAATTTTGGTAGATTTCACTTCATATGTTTATGCAGTTTGTTGGAATTGACCAATAGAATAAAGAGACAGATTTTTACTCAATACAAAGGAGAATTTTCTTTGAACTAGAGGAGAATGTCCTGCTTGGACTAGAAGTGGCAAAGGAGGGGCTGGTAGACCTGCTATCAAAGATGCTCATTCAGAGATTGCTTCATTTCTGGGAAGCCAGGCTTGAGGATGGGATGCTGAGGATGCTGGTTGGTTAACTTTTTTTTTTTTTTTTGTCTTACTATGTATAAGACAATGTGCTAAAATCTGAACATACATCTTCAGTTTTGATCCATATGGCCATTCTCTTAGACAGGAACTGCTATTTTCCCATGCTTTAGATGCAGAATCTGAAGCCCAGGGGGATTCTGTAACTTTAGGGCTGGAGCCAGTATTCAAGCCTTCCGTTTTGACTCCAGGTCAGAGTATACCTATACTGATTTTAAACATGACGATAACAGGGCGCCTGGGTGGCTCAGTCGGTTAAGCAGCTGCCTTCGGCTCAGGTCATGATCCTGGAGTCCTGGGATCGAGTCCCGCATCAGGCTCCCTGCTCAGCGGGGGGTCTGCTTCTCCCTCTGCCCTCTCCCCTCTCATGCTCTCTGTCTTTCTCTCTGTCTCAAATAAATAAATAAAATCTTAAAAAAAAAATGACGATAACAGCTCTTGGGTATTGAGCACTTACTATTTACTAGATGCTTTACTTTTAGCATGTTCTTCTCTCAGATACTTAACTAGTTTGCTTTTTCTCTTCAAGTCTTTATTGAAATTGTCACCTACATGTGCATTATTTTTCTACTTTGGATTTATTACCAGCTGATGCTCACTCAGTTCTTCATTTGCTTCTTTAGTCATCTACTTTCCCATCCCCACCCCCTTTCTCCACAACTAGAATTAAGCTCTGTAAGTGCAGGGACATTACTTGCTTTATGCTTCTCTGGATCTCCAGTGTCTAGAATACTGGCAGACATATAACAGACAAATCTTAATGAATGAATAAATGAATGAACAAACTTAATCCTATTAGTGACCTTGTGAAGAAAGTAATACAATCCTCATGGTTCAGGTAAGGACAAAGAGGCTTAGGCCAGGTGATGTGCCAGGATTGGAATCTATGATGGTCTGACACCAAAGCCTTGTTGATTCCATTACACCACACTCCCTAAGAGAGTGTTACAAAATGCATCATTACTGAATTACATTCAGGGAAGGAATTCCTATTCTTTGCTTATGACAGAGCCTTGACCCGTCTTGACCTGTCGAGGTTACATTCTGTTGCTCCAAATTCCAGAACCACATCCATGTTCTCTTACGGAATTCCCTTGCACTGATTATTGATAGCAATGAATTGGTTATCTGCCATGGCTGCAAATCCAAATCAACAAATATCTACTAAGCATCTAGTTTTCAGAAAGTTAGTGTGTTTGGCATTCTGAAAGGTTTTACTTACTTGGAGATACTGAAATGCCATTCCACCTTTATTTCCAGGAAATAATTCTTATACTGAAAAATGAAAGTCACTAAGAGTTTTTCAGTGTTTGATTTGGGTATGTTGAGTACGTTGGGTATGTTGAGCGTGTAGTGGGAGATGCCCGATACATACCAGGACAGTATGTAATGAGCTAATTGAATTGCCTGGATATAGACTGGCTGTTTGACACCCGCCATAAGGAAGGTACTGTGCATTTTTAATCTCATGCATATTTTTTGAAATGTGAATGCTCTTGTAGATTGCTCCAAATATTCTATATATCTACATGCTATTCAAAGCCCTTTAAAACTTGTGGAAAGTGATTTAAAGCACATAAATTTTCTTAATTTACTACTGAAGAATTAGACTTTATGTAGGTCAATGGTATAATTTCTCAGGGAAAAACTATACAGAAGGAGATAAATATATATATATATATATATATATATATATATATATATATATATATATACACATATATATATTCTTTTACAGTATTGACCATATTGTAAAAAATCTCAACTTTTACATAAAAATTATTTGACTGGGCAAATAAAGAAAAACATCAAATTGATTATTAGTATTAGTGTGTATGTATGTATTGGGTAGATCTGGATCAGATTAATTCCCTGATTGTTTTAATTTTCAGCTGGTTGAAATTTGTAATAAAAACTTGGGTGTTTAAATTATCAGTTGGAAGTCTACATGGGCCTTGGATCCGTTTGCTTTGCCCACTCTCTAATTCCACTTTATTTTCCAAATTTTTCCCTGGTTTAGAATCTGTGGCCCTATTTTCGTCACCAATTCTTCTGTTTCCCTCCCTTGAGCCGTTTTGAACAGCTTTCCTTGACATGAAAAGTATTATGAGGGTCTGTAAAAATGATTTTTTGGAGAGGGTGCTTTTAAACAACAGGAAGAGAATAGATAGCTTTTTATTTTCTTAAGGCAATGCCAGGGAAGCAGGCAAGGGGAATGTCCGGGGCTTCTCTCTCTCTCTCTTTCTCTCAGCACATTGCAAATGTTGATTTCTCACACATCCAGTTATCAGCAGAGATTTTCTGAAAGTCGCGGCAGGGCGGGTGAACTCCGCACACTTCAGGGCCCCCCCTCCCTTGTCTGCCTTCCAGGTCCCGCTGCGAGGCCTTCCACCGCCATCGGCCTCTGCAGGAACAGCCAGACCCCTTTGGCCTCGTCGGAGGTCCCCCGGAGCTCCTCGGAGCCAGAGCGGGAGGACAGGAAGGCAGCCCCAGTAGGCGCTCAGGCGGACCCCCATCGCCAAAGCCGGCCCCGGGGCGCGCCCCTAAGTCCGGCTGGAGGAGGCGCAGTTGCCATGGCACCGGAGATGCTCCCCAAGCATCCTCATCCCCCGGGGAAAAGGGGGCCCAGGGTGGACGCCTCCCTCCACGGCAATCTGGCAGGAGCGTCCCTTCCTCTGCTCGCCGGTGCTCCCAGCCATCATCTCCCCTCAAAGAGGTTAATCAAGGTTTGCTCTTCTCCCCCCGCCCGCCCACGCCAGCGTTTCCATACGGTTTGTTCACAGGCCCCTCCTAGGCCGGGGGTGAATGCTCACTTACATTGACCGCTGCGAGGGAATTGTCTGCGGGTGCTGCCCATCTTCAAATCAATGCCTGCCCAGGACAACAGAAAAGGCCTCAGATGTACTGGTTTCCACAGAACCATTGTTAGGCTTTTGTGAAGCAGTTTTGAACCTAATAAATAATGTCAAAAGTCTCTATCGCAGCCAAAAATGTTCCTTTTGAAGCATTTCTAATAGTATTTTTGTTCTGCGGTGTCTCCGAGTGTCACAAAGAATTTGTGTCTCACAATGGGGATGGGGTACATCGCGTGCCACTTCGCAATGTGCCTGTGGGGATCGGACCCCTTTTTGTTTTGCTCTCCCAGGTAAACGGTTTCATTTGCCAACTTGAGCTTTGGTTTAAGGATGTTTTCTAAGGGCCTTTTGAATCTCTAAACAGAGGTTTGGGAAACATAATTGAATGTCTGTAATTTAATAGTTAACATGAAATTTGATTACTCCTGATGTGCCTAGGGGAATTCTTCAGACTATATTAGGGTTTTTATGTCAGAAACCTGAAGCTGGATCCTCCTTTGAGGTCCTGAGACACTTGGAACTCATTTTAATGCAAAAGAGATACTGAGTTTTCTTATTTTGGAATAACAAAACAAAACAAAACAAAACACTGGAGAACCTTAGGTAACATTCTATCAAATTGGTCAATTAGGCAATATTTTTTACTTCAGTTAATGTAGGTTCAACAGCAGCTTTTTACCATGATTTAATGCAGAGACTAATTTTAACAAATGATCTTATGTGTTTTTAGTGTAGTATTCTTTTTTTCAGCTTTGAAAGAGAAACACAACCAACGAAACCAATACATCCATGTGTAATTTTTCATTCAAGTTCCTTGCAATTTTTTTCCCAGGCTTGGATCCAGAAAGTCCGATAAAGGGTGTTTATAAATCCTACTGCATTTTCCCCCATTCAGGTCAAATTAATATATACAGCATGCCCATATTGAAGACTTACCAGCAAGTCTACAAGTCCAAATTTAAGTCTCAAAGTTTTAATAGGAATGAAATGTTTTAACTAGTAACTGCTTAACATTTAGAAGTCTGTTTAGTCCTTTGAGGATGATTTGATTTCTTAGCATTCCCTAGGGGGTAATGCACTTTAAAGAATAACAACAACAAAAGATCCCCAAGCTTTAGAGCATTCCTTCCTTCAGACTATGATTTTATAATAAATATGTTTTTATTATTTATTTATTAACATGATTTTATTGTAAGAGAACAAACAGGTTATCAGGGGTGGTTCTATAGTTCCCTGAGGGGATGGTGGCATCTGAACACTGGTGTGCACATGACAATCCTAAGTTCAACTTCATGCCATTTGGTTGGAGAGAAATGTGTGGGTAAACTCATGGCTTTATGTGAAATTTTGATGCCGGGGTATTTTAATTTGCTATAATTATGAGTTAGCACGACTGATATTTTTTCAGTTACCGAACCTATTGCTTTGCTTGAAGTGATTCTAAAACAACTAACCAGAAATCTGTAGTGGTCAATTGCAGGAGGGGGAAATGTTCTTAATATAGGAAATAGATTCTCTCATCTGTAGAAGTGCAAAATCCTGAATTTACTAAAAGTACAATAGAGAAGAAGTAATTCTATTCATAATTGAGAAAGGGGATGCAAGCAAAAGATGTGAAATATGTGGCATACCATATTTTATCTTTTTTTTTTTTTAAAGATTTTATTTATTTATTTGACAGAGAGAAACACAGTGAGAGCAGGAACACAAGCAGGGGGAATGGGAGAGGGAGAAGCAGGCTTCCTGCCGAGCAGGGAGCCCGATGTGGGACTCGATCCCAGGACCCTGGAATCATGACCTGAGCCGAAGGCAGACGCTTAATGACTGAGCCACCCAGGCACCCCATATTTTATCTTTTTTAAAAATTTATTTTTTAGAGAGAAAGTGTGTGGCGGGGGGTGGGGTGGGCAGGGTCAGAGGAAGAGAGAATCTTAAGCAGGCTCCAGCACAGCATGGAGCGCATCCTGGACCCTGAGATCATGACATGTGCCAAAATCAAGAGTCAGATGCTTAACCCACACAGGCACCCCGATATACCGTATTTTAAAGCAGGTTCCCAAAGTGTGTTCCTTGGAACATTGGAATTAAAAGACACTTTGTGAGATGGGGAGTCTATAGATAGATATGTCTGAGGGATGTGGTCCGGCAAACTCCCTCTTAGAGAGTCACAGTAACATTAAGAATCCCCAGAAATTACATGATAAAAAATCTGATAAACCCTGTTTAGCTTAGTGTTTTTCAATTTTATTTGATCAGGAAATCTTAACTTACTTATCTTTATCTATAATCTTGATTTATTTATGTGTTTGTGGGTGTGTGTAAAGACACACACCGACACACACATATTTTAAAAAATAGCACCTGTCTGTAGCACTAGTGTCCTATGGAACACATGTGAGAAAACTTCACTCCATCTCTATTCTCAATATACCAGAATTCATGTAAACTGGTAGGGTTCAAAGGAAGGATTACTTTTCAAAGGTAGTGAAGAAAGAATCAGAGCTAAAGAAAGCAACCCTTAATAAATACCTCCAGGACCCCATTCTTCCTTGGAGGAATGTAACTAGCTGTTCTGGTTATTTTTTCTCATTTTGGGTGCACCTGATTGGGAGAAGGTTAGTCAGTCCAGCCATGACCATGTTTTTTTTTTTTTTTTTAAAGATTTTATTTATTTATTTGACAGAGAGAGACACACAGCGAGAGAGGGAACACAAGCAGGGGGAGTGGGAGAGGGAGAAGCAGGCTTCCCACCGAGAAGGGAGCCCGATGCGGGGCTCGATCCCAGGACCCTGGGATCATGACCTGAGCCGAAGGCAGACGCTTAATGACTGAGCCACCCAGGCACCCCGCAGCCATGACCATGTTTTGATAGTGATGGATGAGGAGCATTTCCAATGTGACTGTTAGAGTCCTGACTATGGACATTCAAGTTCTTCTGAATGACGACTACTTTTTTTTTTTATTCTTATGTTAATCCCCATACATTACATCATTAGTTCTAGATGAAGTGTTCCATGATTCATTGTTTGTGCGTAACACCCAGTGCCCCATGCAGAATGTGCCCTCCTCAATACCCATCACCAGGCTAACCCATCCTCCCACCCCCCTCCCCTCTAGAACCCTCAGTTTGTTTTTCAGAATCCATCGTCTCTCATGGTTCGTCTACCCCTCCGATTTCCCCCGCTTCATTCTTCCCCTCCTGCTACCTTCTTCTTCTTCTTTTTTTTTTTTCTTAACATATATTGCATTATTTGTTTCAGAGGTACAGATCTGAGATTCAACAGTCTTGCACAATTCACAGGGCTTACCAGAGCACATACCCTCCCCAGTGTCTATCACCCAGTCACCCCATCCCTCCCACTCCACCCCCCACTCCAACAACACTCAGTTTGTTTCCTGCGATTAAGAATTCCTCATATCAGTGAGATCATATGATACATGTCTTTCTCTGTTTGACTTATTTCACTCAACATAATACCCTCCAGTTCCATCCACGTCGTTGCAAATGACAAGATCTCATTCCTTTTGATGGCTGCATAATATTCCATTGTATATATATACCACATCTTCTTTACCCATTCATCTGTTGATGGACATCTTGGCTCTTTCCACAGTTTGGCTACTGTGGACATTACTGCTATAAACATCGGGGTGCACGTACCCCTTCGGATCCGTACTTTTGTATCTTTGGGGTAAATACCCAGTAGTGCAATTGCTGGATCATATGGTAGCTCTATTTTCAACCTTTTGAGGAACCTCCATACAGTTTTCCAGAGTGGCTGCACCAGCTTGCATTCCCACCAACAGTGTAGGAGGGTTCCCCTTTCTCCGCATCCCCGCCAACATCTGTCATTTCCTGACTTGTTAATTTTAGCCACTCTGACTGGTGTGAGGTGGTATCTCATTGAGGTTTTGATTTGGATTTCCCTGATGCTGAGCGATATTGAGCACTTTTTCATGTGTCTGTTGGCCATTTGGATGTCTTCTTTGGAAAAATGTCTGTTCATGTCTTCTGCCCATTTCTTGATTGGATTCTTTGTTCTTTGGGTGTTGAGTTTGATGAGTTCTTTATAGATTTTGGATACTAGCCCTTTATCTGATATGTCATTTGCAAATATCTTCTCCCATTCTGTCTGTTGTCTTTTGGTTTTGTTGATTGTTTCCTTTGCTTTGCAAAAGCTTCTTATCTTGATGAAGTCCCAATAGTTCATTTTTGCCCTTGCTTCCCTTGCCTTTGGCGATGTTTCTAGGAAGAAGTTGCTTCGGCTGAGGTCAAAGAGGTTGCTGCCTGTGTTCTCCTTTAGGATGTTGATGGACTCCTGTCTCACATTGAGGTCTTTCAACCATTTGGAGTCTATTTTTGTGTGTGGTGTAAGGAAATGGTCCAGTTTCATTCTTCTGCATGTGGCTATCCAATTTTCCCAACACCATTTGTTGAAGAGACTGTCTTTTGTTCCATTGGACATTCTTTCCTGCTTTGTCAAAGATTAGTTGACCATAGAGTTGAGGGTCCATTTCTGGGCTCTCTATTCTGTTCCATTGATCTATGTGTCTGTTTTTGTGCCAGTACCATGCTGTCTTGATGATGACAGCTTTGTAATAGAGCTGGAAGTCCGGAATTGTGATGCCGCCGGCTTTGCTTTTCTTTTTCAACATTCCTCTGGCTATGCGGGGTCTTTTCTGGTTCCATACAAATTTTAGGATTATTTGTTCCATTTCTTTGAAAAAAGTGGATGGTATTTTGATGGGGATTGCATTGAATGTGTAGATTGCTCTAGGTAGCATTGACATCTTCACCATATTTGTTCTTCCAATCCATGAGCATGGAACGTTTTTCCATTTCTTTGTGTCTTCCTCAATTTCTTTCATGAGTATTTTATAGTTTTCTGAGTACAGATCCTTTGTCTCTTTGGTTAGATTTATTCCTAGGTATCTTATGGTTTTGGGTGCAATTGTAAATGGGATCG